TCCCTCTCCTAGTCACAGCTCTGCTGTACTGAGGGATGATAGGAGGCTGATATTGGGACATAATCAGGTACTTACATTATCTACATTTAAATACATTCAATGATTTAAAAAATATATATATTATTACAGTTTTTGCTTTCTTAATATTTGCCCATAGTTCATTGTTAAAATATGAAGAGGCAAAAGGTCTCCTCTGTGACATCAAAGATCCTTGAGAGTCTCGTGTTTCAGGCTTTATGACCTGCAAGTACCTTGGTGATCTTCTGTCCTGGGGGCCCCTTTCCATTCTTTATTAAGTTGGCCCTGAAGACATCTGACTGGTCCCCAAATCAGCCAGTTGGGTGTTGTAAATCGGTAACCTGAGCTGGGAAAAGAGATTCTTTACAGTCTCATAGGTCCCTTGGTAGTCTATTGTCCTGGTGGCCCCTTTCCCTCCTTCATTAACTTGGCCCTGAAGACATCTGACTGGTCCCCAAATCAGCCAGTCGGGTGTTATTGTAAATTGGCAACGTGAGCAAGGAAAAGAGATCCTTTACAGTCTCATGTTTCAGGCTCTAGGACCTGCAGGTACCTTGATGGTCTTCTATCCTGGTGGTCCCTTTCCCTTCTTCATTAACTTGGCCCTGAAGACATCAGAATGGTCCCCAAATCAGCCAATCGGGTACAATTTGATCTCTTCTCTGTAACGTTATTGGCTGTGGGTTTACGATGACATCAGCAGATACGCTGTGATAAGTGGAATGTGCACTCCCTGATAGGATGGCAGAAAGAGAAGACCAACTGTAAAGCGGCCCCTTTGGTGGGCACTTCTGCCTGCCAAAGATTCTACAAAGAGCATTTGTGTTGCATAGAAGAAATGGTCCACTACAGCCAAAGTGTGCAATTCCTTACTGTGTAGATATTTGTCACATGTATACAGGACATGTACCGCGGGGGCAGGGCAGTATATAACGGTCAGTGGGAGGAGCTTGGAGCCTTACTGGAGACAGCAGCATTGTCAGGCCAGCTTTTGAAGTTACCTGGTGGGGGACACGTTAGAAGCAGGAGCAGAGTGTAGTCACACTGCTTATGGGTGGAGTCTGGACCTGTACAAAGTAGAAACTAAGTAGAAACTAAAAGGGGGACTCATGAGAGAGTAACAATAGAAACACAAATTTCACTAAAAAGCTGTAGATTGGATGGTGAAGGGGTCAGAGCTGCAAAGCTGCATCACTGCTAGTCATACCTTGGAGTTTTATGTAAAATGTAGCTTTCTGTGGTCTAAAATTAGTTTGGGGAAGTGGGAGGAGTCTGGAGTCAGATGGGGGGTTGGAGGAGTCTGGAGTCATATGGGGGGGGCAGAGTCATATTAGGGGTAGGGGGTGTTTGGAGTCAGATTGGGGGGGGGATGAGTTTGGAGTCATATTAGGGGTGGGAGGAGTTTGGAACACAAAAGGTTGCAAAGTCCTGATTGATAAAACATAACGATAGACTAGAGGATCTTACAGGATGTAGCGCCCAGAGGACTGAAATGAAAGGTGGCATAGAAGGGGGTGAAGAGATGGGTGAATATATTACTGTGCATAAAGGAGGAGTATATACAATGCTGCTAGTGGTGGGGGGGGGTATATATTGTGCTGGTGAGGGGTGTACATACCATGCTGTTGCTGGAAGGGGGGTGTAATTATTGTGTTGGTGGGAGGGGAGTGTATATACCAAGCTGGTAGGGGGAGGGGGCTGTATATATCGTGACGGTTGGGTGAGAGGGGTGTATATACTGTGCTGGTGGTGGGAGGAGAGTGTACATATGATGCTGGTGGTGGGAGAGGGTTGTATATATTGTGTGGTGGTGGGAGGAGGGTGTACAAATGGTGCTGGTGGTGGGAGAGGGGTATGTATACTGTGCTGGTGGTGGGAGAAGGGTGTACATATTGTGCTGGTGGTGGGAGAAGGGTGTATATATTGTGCTGGTGGTAGGAGAGGGGTGTGTATACTGTTCTGGTGTGGGAGAAGGGTGTATATATTGTGCTGGTGGTGGGAGAGGGGTGTACATATTGTGCTGGTGGTGGGAGAGGGGTGCACATATTGTGCTGGTGGTGGGAGAGGGGTGCACATATTGTGCTGGTGGTGGGAGAGGGGTGTACATATTGTGCTGGTGGTGGGAGAGGGGTGTACATATTGTGCTGGTGGTGGGAGAGGGGTGTACATATTGTGCTGGTGTTGGGAGAGGGGGGTATATATTGTGCTGGTGGTGGGAGACAGATGGATATACTATGCTAGAGGTGGGAGAGGGTTATCTACATTATGCTGGTGGTAGGAGGGGGTTGTATATACTGTGGTGGTGGGAGAGGGGTGTGTATACTGTTCTGGTGGTGGGAGAGGGGGGTATATATTGTGCTGGTGGTGGGAGACAGGTGTATATATTGTGCTGGTGGTGGGAGACGGGTGTATATATTGTGCTGGTGGTGGGAGATGGGTGTATATATTGTGCTGGTGGTGGGAGAGGGTGTATATATTGTGCTGGTGGTGGGAGATGGGTGTATATATTGTGCTGGTGGTGGGAGAGGGTGTATATATTGTGCTGGTGGTGGGAGAGGGGTGTATATATTGTGCTGGTGGTGGGAGGGGGGTGTATATATTGTGCTGGTAGTGGGAGAAAGTCGTATATACTGTACTTGTGGTGGGAGAGGAGTGTATATATTGTGCTGCTGGTGGTGGAAGGGAGGTGGATATATTGTTCTAATAGGGGTGTATATAGTATTTGCAGGGGTGTGTATACATTGTGCTGGTGATGGGGGGGTGTATATTTTGCTCTGGGAGGGGGTTTTGGGGGTGTATATAATGTACCTATTGATGCTTTGGAAATTGGACAATCATAAATCTGAACTGGTTGAGCCATTTTAGAAGGTTTCCCTGGCTCCCATATCTCGGTTTTCATATCCAAGTCAGAGCGCCTGCTTATTCCTGACTTCTCTCTTACCTGACCTATGGAGACAGGCAAAGGTGTGGGGGTGGGTGGGGGCCAAGGTGAAAGGGGCAATTTTCACATAGCAATGGGAAGTTTGCCGATTTTCGGAGGACATCTGTGCAGGCCGCTCTCATTGCTTTCATCATTACGCTGATTTACCAGGTGAGGTGGATGATGGCGTACAATGCCGTACTCTGTGCAGGATTGGGTACTACGTACTTCCTATAATCCCATCACACCAAATCTGCATCGCACATCTTCATCCAATTTTAGGCTTTTTTTCACCTCGTTATGTGTTTTTTGAAGGACATATTGGAGAGGAGCTGAAATTCTGACAACCACATTTTTACCCTAAACCAGCACGGTGCTCCACCTCTGGCGTCGTGTGATACGGCATGTTTGTCACATGACCAGAAACAGGAACTGCAGGTAGAAGACCCCTCCTTTGTGGACACTGTACCGGTCGGAGATCTGGAGTTTCTTCTCCATCAGTCGCGCCCCCCAGGGGACACTAAGGGGGTTCCTGAAACCCTGGGGCTTTGTTCACAATCTGGGACAGTCCCACGGACTCCGGTACGTCCTGTAAAGCTCAGTTCCGGACTGTACAATGTGATCTGTTTCAGAATGAAACCAACTGGAGCCCTGTAAAGAGAACATTCTATATAACATTCGATGATGTAGGACTCTCCCCATAGTGGGATTTCTGTATAGCCAACATAGGCCGTGGCGTGGGACAGTAGAGCTTCCAGTAGCACCACTCAGACAGCATGGGGGGGATTCGTGAAAACTGGAGCAGTTGCCCATGGCAACCAATCAGCTTCTGTTTTCAGTTTGTTCCGTTAGGCTTTGAAAATGAAAGAGAGAAGCTGACTGGTTGCCGTGGGCAACTTCTCCAGTGTGTATGAATCACCCCAAATATTGCCAACGGTCAGTAGCACACCCCATAATAATTGATGCCGCCATCCCCGTTGCTGACGGGTCCTAGTTGTTGTTGTCCTGGTACAGTAGATGCCTTTATATCAGTGGAATATTCTGTGTACCTAACCGTAGGGCTCCACCCACCGGGACTATCACAGGGTGCCCACAAATAGTACTGAGGCCAGCTAGGAGGGAGGCCAGAAGGGTAAATCCGACTTGGACATCCACACTGAATATATACCGGTCACCCCGAGATAATGAGAACCCGTCCAGACACTGACTCACTAACTTGCCTCCTGTGACTGCCATACTGTCACACTGCTGCCCTTCAGGCTACAAAATTCATGCAGGAAAAGGGAAATGTTTCACTGAACAATACCATGTGATGTGGTAGCGCTGACCTGCCTCCTATGGATATATATCAGGGGTAGGCAGATTCCGGCCTTCCAGCTGTGGTGGAACTACAAGTCTCATGAGGCATTGCAAGCCTCTAACAGCCACAGGCATGATTTGTAGTTTCATCACAGCTATAGGGTAAGGATGGGCTCGGGCGTGTTCGCAGCTCCACGTGCCGAGCACGCCAGGAAGCTGATAGCGCGCAGGGCCAATCACAGGCACTGAGACATTTCCCGATCTCTGCAGCTGCGGACCGGGAAAATGTCTCAGTGCCTGTGATTGGCGCTGTTAGTTCCCTGGCGGGCTCGGCACGTGGTGCTGCGAACACGCCCGAGCCCATCCTTACTATAGGGCCGGAGTTTGCTTACCCCTGATACATAGAAAGTCTGATTTTGAATAACAGGTCCACTTTAAGCCAGCATGTCCTCATGGCTCATGATCAGGCCATGTTTTCTGGGCTTCAGGCAGTCAAGCCTGTGCTGGTTCCAGGACTGGGTCGGGGAAAACATGCTGGGTGGGACGAATGACACACCAGGAGCCCATTTGATATTCTTATCTGCAGCCTTGAACCATCCATTGCTTGATACCATGTAAAATTGACAGTGCTGACCTATGACTGGTGTGTGAGAGATGTTCTGCGCTCTGAGATGCAGCATAACATGAAAACCTGCAGAAGTGGATGCCTCTGATGAGAGGCCAATTGCCGCTGTGACAAACACGGGAGGCGGAGGCCCTCTTATATAACCAACATGTTGTGCTCTTTAATTCTTTGTTCTAGAAAGTTCCAGCTCTGTAAAATCGCTGAAAAATCTGTCAGGCGGAATATACATCATCAACACGGATTGTACCAACAGCAACGATACAAAGAAAGCAATGACGGCACAAACGGTAACACAATAAAACTGTATCCCATTTGTGTCAGGTGCGCTATGTACACATCGTCTCATGCCGACCACACAACGGGCGTAAGCGAAAGAAAACCGCAAACAGAAAGTCTGTACAGGGTGGTGGGCGGGGCGCGCCCAGCGTCCAATCGGGGCCCCCGCCATCCTCAGCGCACCTGCGCCACGTAGCCCTCCTTCAGCAGCCCCTCCTCGTAGTCCGTCTGGCACAGGATCATGTTGTTCTTTAGAAAAAATTTGTCCCCGACACAAAACCTGCAAGAGAAGGAGAATCGATGGATGAGAGACGGCAACTTCAGAGCGGAGCAGGAAATTCATCCACACAAAATACAGATCATCAGAGATTTCCTACAAGATCCTGAGCTGAGAGGGGAATGATGCGCCCCTTCTCTCTCCTTCCTACATACAGCTGGTCCTGGTCCTTGTCCTATCCGTGTCACTCACCCCCGCTCTTCCCCTTCTCTTTCCTTCCTATGTACAGCTGGTCCTTGTCCTATCCGTGTCACTCACCCCCGCTCTTCCCCTTCTCTTTCCTTCCTATGTACAGCTGGTCCTTGTCCTATCCGTGTCACTCACCCCCGCTCTTCCCCTTCTCTTTCCTTCCTATGTACAGCTGGTCCTTGTCCTATCCGTGTCACTCACCCCCGCTCTTCCCCTTCTCTTTCCTTCCTATGTACAGCTGGTCCTTGTCCTATCCGTGTCACTCACCCCCGCTCTTCCCCTTCTCTTTCCTTCCTATGTACAGCTGGTCCTTGTCCTATCCGTGTCACTCACCCCCGCTCTTCCCCTTCTCTTTCCTTCCTATGTACAGCTGGTCCTTGTCCTATCCGTGTCACTCACCCCCGCTCTTCCCCTTCTCTTTCCTTCCTATGTACAGCTGGTCCTTGTCCTATCCGTGTCACTCACCCCCGCTCTTCCCCTTCTCTTTCCTTCCTATGTACAGCTGGTCCTTGTCCTATCCGTGTCACTCACCCCCGCTCTTCCCCTTCTCTTTCCTTCCTATGTACAGCTGGTCCTTGTCCTATCCGTGTCACTCACCCCCGCTCTTCCCCTTCTCTTTCCTTCCTATGTACAGCTGGTCCTTGTCCTATCCGTGTCACTCACCCCCGCTCTTCCCCTTCTCTTTCCTTCCTATGTACAGCTGGTCCTTGTCCTATCCGTGTCACTCACCCCCGCTCTTCCCCTTCTCTTTCCTTCCTATGTACAGCTGGTCCTTGTCCTATCCGTGTCACTCACCCCCGCTCTTCCCCTTCTCTTTCCTTCCTATGTACAGCTGGTCCTTGTCCTATCCGTGTCACTCACCCCCGCTCTTCCCCTTCTCTTTCCTTCCTATGTACAGCTGGTCCTTGTCCTATCCGTGTCACTCACCCCCGCTCTTCCCCTTCTCTTTCCTTCCTATGTACAGCTGGTCCTTGTCCTATCCGTGTCACTCACCCCCGCTCTTCCCCTTCTCTTTCCTTCCTATGTACAGCTGGTCCTTGTCCTATCCGTGTCACTCACCCCCGCTCTTCCCCTTCTCTTTCCTTCCTATGTACAGCTGGTCCTTGTCCTATCCGTGTCACTCACCCCCGCTCTTCCCCTTCTCTTTCCTTCCTATGTACAGCTGGTCCTTGTCCTATCCGTGTCACTCACCCCCGCTCTTCCCCTTCTCTTTCCTTCCTATGTACAGCTGGTCCTTGTCCTATCCGTGTCACTCACCCCCGCTCTTCCCCTTCTCTTTCCTTCCTATGTACAGCTGGTCCTTGTCCTATCCGTGTCACTCACCCCCGCTCTTCCCCTTCTCTTTCCTTCCTATGTACAGCTGGTCCTTGTCCTATCCGTGTCACTCACCCCCGCTCTTCCTCTTCTCTCTCCTTCCTACGTACAGCCGGTCCTTGTCCTATCAGTGTCACTCACCCCCGCTCTTCCCCTTCTCTCTCCTTCCTACGTACAGCCGGTCCTTGTCCTATCAGTGTCACTCACCCCCGCTCTTCCCCTTCTCTCTCATTTCTGTTCTATTAATGTCTCCTATACTACAGTAATGCTTTAGTTTTGTGGACTGAGACTCCCATTTTCTGCCTCTCCACTCATCCCATTGAATTGTGATCTGTGAAATAAGACATTATGGAGATCTAATGTTTGGTGACTTTGTTGTGCGCTCTGTCTTTCAGTGGCCAGTGCAGGCACTTCCTGGAATATCAGATGATGGTGATTTTTATTCCTGACAGGTCAGGCTGTCATGTGGCAGTGAATGTCCCCCAGGGGGCGCCGACCTCACCTGGACTCTGCGGATTGAACTGTCTGCGTGGGTTGGACTGTCTCTGCTGATTGGATTGTCTAAGGTGCACTCCAGGCCATGTCAAATGACACTTGGGGCCATCACTCCAGGCCGCGTGAAGGGCCACTTCGAGCCATTTCAAAGGGCACTCCAGGCTATCAGATGGAGCACTCCGGACCGTGTGAAGGGACATTCTGGGCCATTAGATGGGGCAGTCAGGACCGCATGAAGGGGCACTCCAGGCTATCAGATAGGGCACTCCGGACCGTGTGAAGGGCATTCTTGACCATTAGATGGGGCACTCAGGACCGCATGAAGGGGCACTCCAGGCTATCAGATAGGGCATTCTGGGCCATCAGATGGGGCACTCAGGACCGCATGAAGGGGCACTCCAGGCTATCAGACAGGGCACTCCGGACCGCGTGAAGGGGCATTCTGGACCATTAGATGGGGCACTCAGGACCGCATGAAGGGGCACTCCAGGCTATCAGATAAGGCACTCCGGATCGTGTGAAGGGCATTCTGGGCCATCAGATGGGGCACTCAGGACCACATGAAGGGGCACTCCAGGCTATCAGATAGGGCACTCCGGACCGTTTGAAGGGGCGCTGCAGGCCATATCACAAGGCACTTCAGGCCATCAGAAACGGCACTCTGGACCATGTGAAGGGGCACGGTGGGCCATGTCATGGGGCACTCCAGACTGAATGAAGAGGCACTGGGGGCCATGTCAAGGGGCACTCAAGGCCATGTCAAGGGGTCTTTTTGGGCCATCAGATGGGGCACTCCAGACCGTGTGAAGTGGCACTGAGGGCAATGTCATGGGGCACTCCGGGCCATCATATGGGGCACTCCGGAACAGGGACCTCTGTAGCTGGTATTTGGGAAATAGCGCCTGCCTCAGATTTGGGAAAGTCAGATCACAGAATCTTTCTTGTATTTTAGACTTTTGATCTGGATAGTGACTCCGCCTCATTCATAGGCTTCTTAGGAAGGTGTTTGTGTTCAGCACTCATAATGGCGATTCTCGCAGCAGGTCCGTTCAGCCAGTATTACATGGAAAAGTATTTTCTGCAATTAAACCCTAAAGTCAGAAGTGATGGAGCTCAGCACAATGGCGCACACAAGGCGCGCTGCTCATGGCCGGATAATTAGGCGCCGCCACACAAACAAATCTTTTCACGGCAATTTGGCAGCTTTACAGTCTGAGCCACAATTAGCGTCCAGAAAAAATGGCAGCATCTACAGCAACCGCTGACTCAGCCGGAGCCGCGTCTGTCTAATTGCAACGGATTAACCTCAGAGTGGCCGTGGCGGCTGCGGCTGACCCGCAGGGAACGCACGTAATTACACCGTGTGGCCTTTGATGGTGGCAGCTCACAGAGAGCGGACTGGCAGCAATGAGGCTGCAATGGGGGAATTGTCACGCAGATTAGAGAACGTCTGGAAATCGGCCTTTATGGAGCCTTTTTCGGAGGGAGATTTACATTTATAAAGGGGCCAACAATGGCACCATTTACTTTCCAATGGAGTGTCGATGGAGGCGGCAGACAAAAAAAGGAATGAAGAGAACTGAAATTCTTGGTCTATATTGTGTTATGTGCAGCTCACAAATTCATCCTGATTAGCTTCAGCTTCAGCTGGAGGAAATCCCAAATATCACAACACAAACCGCCAGATGTGACGACGCAACAAAAACTATAATCTGCCAACAAATCAAACCCCAGAATTTTGTGCACAGAATGGGGGCATTTCCTGCTTTTTCCTGATTACTCAGCTGCTGATTGGTCAATTTAAACTAAAGGCAGCTCTGTATTGACAATCGTCAGTGCTATTTTATGGGGATTCTAGACAGGAAGAGAGCAAGCACAAAAAATATCTTCCCCCATTATCCTAACTGCACTAGAGATCCCTTCAGAACATCCCCACAAACCTTTCCATATTTAACAATAATAAACGGCAAATGGTCTTCTCATGAACAATCTATGTCCATGGGAGAAGACACGCACCTTGCACCAATCCCACCTATGATATGACCTAGGTAGGGATGACATTGATTAGGGGAACACTGAGTAAGGTTGGTGCTGGGTAGCGATGACATTCGTTAGGGGTGAAACTGGATAAGGTTGGCGCTGGGTAAGGATGACATTGGTTAGAGGTGACACTGGGTAAGGTTGGCGCTGGGTATGGATGACGCTGGGCAAGGTTGATTACACTGGGTAGGATTGGTGCTGGGTAGGGATCATATTGGTTAGAGGTTACACTGGGTGGGGTTAGTGCTGGGTAAGGATGATATTGGTTAGGGTGACACTGTGTAAGGTTGGCACTGGGTAGGGATAATATTGTTTAGGGGTGACCCTGGGTAAGGTTGGTGCTGGGTAGGGGAGACATTAATGTTTCTGGGCTATGTGGCGGTAAGCAAGTCATGGGGATGGGGAACTGGCAGTGCAAACTGCAACACTCCCCTGCCAAAGTCACTGATTGGGGCATCTTAATGCCTGAAGAAATGCTTCTGTGGGGTGCAAAGATTATAAACAGCCACAGCAGACCATAAAGAGCACAGGCAGACTATACAGCACATAGGGTCCCCCAGCATACAACAGACCATACAGTGCATTGGGGCCCCTGACCCACCAAACTGTGCAGCAAAGATGGGTCCAGCACAAAACAGAGTCTACAGTGCATAGGGGTCCCCAACATAGCAAACTATACAGAACATAGGAATTCCAGCACACAGCAGACCATGCACAGCACGGGGCCCAAATCATAAAGTACACTGGGCCCCCAGTGTACAGCAGACATTACAGCACACAGCAGGCTATAAAGCACATAGGGGCCCCAGAACAAAGCAGGCCATATAACACATGGAGGCAATAAGATGGATCTAGGGCTCACTCAAGCTGTTGTCTTTATAAAAGTGGTTGAACATCCAGGGGCCCATAATGATTTCGCTCTGGGGCCCACGATACCCAGATGTCAATGGCTGAGCTGTGATCCTCAATATTGGATTTGTTTATGGTGTTTGTTTTGGGTGGTCTTCTGAGCAGATTTTTCATTCTGTATTTTTGGGATCATTGTATTTCCAATCCAGACACATTGCACACTTCCCATAGAAAATCTCGTTTACGGAGTATCCAAATGCCTCTGCTAATCTATCAGGATAACATTCAGTGCGTGGCATTGCTCAGCCATGTCCAGCCGCAACTAAAGAGACGCCATTAATGAAACGGACAGACGATGAGCGGACACTAATTGTGCAGAACCAGCGAGAGCCTCGGCTCCATTACAGAGCGCCAGCGAGGGATTCGCCCTAATGAGAGTCATAGATCTCCGCTCCACAGTGTAACGCTGGATCCGGAATCTGATTGGACAGTCTGTATTTCCCCTGCAGAGGTGATTGGAGCTCCACATCAGTTACTCTCCTATCAGTTATTCACATTCTCTGCTAATGTGTTTCTGCTGGATGGAGCTGAAAAAGATGATTGTGTCTATGGGATGGGGTCACTTTATGGAGCCAAATACCTTCCCTCTGAAGAGGATATTGCCTCTTCCTGTTCTCCACCATCCTTTCCTGACCTAGAACCACCCCACACGTACACCTTAGATGTCACACGCACATCAGAGAGTGGAATCCAAAGAGAAAGAGGAGAGTTTCCCTGGTACACCCCCCACTCCCCTCCTCTCAGATTTCCAGGTACTATATATATTCATAAAGAGAACCCACCTCTGATTACACAGCTGACAGGCAAAGCAGTCCAGATGGTAGACATTGTCCTTCGCCCGCATCACCATCTCGAAGGCTGGAATTAGTTTGCTGCACGCTGCACAATTTCCCGTTACCCCAAATAACCTGGAAGAGATAAAAGAGGTGGTCATTGGAGGGATCCAGATCTGGCACAAGGCTTCATTCAAAGTGTGTCATCAGACATTTCTATCTGGTATGTGGGTTGAGACTGGAGAGTCATAAAAAAAAGAGTACAACACACTACAGGGTATATGGTATGAAACACAGTATAGAGAGTAGTGTATGACATATAAATGGTATAGAGCAGGGGTGCCCATTAGGTAGATCGTGATCTACCAGTAGCTCTCAAAGCTGATGCTGGTAGATCACTAAGTGTGTGAATGGCGGCCCCTATATTCCATTTTGGTATATTTATTTAGCTGTGCACACATGATTACCTATTAGCCTGAGTCTGCTGAGCCAAGCTCCCTGACACCTTTCTGGTGGATACTGGTGGTTGAAGTGCTATGTATTACATCAAAGAATATTAGTTTACATAGCCTGCTGCACTACACTGTTTGCAAAATACAGCAAGGTGAGCCAGGAGAGAGAGCGGGGAGAGACCGCCAGGAAAGAGAGAGAAGAGACAGCCAGGGGAGGGAGCAAGGAGAGACAGCCAAGAGAGTGAAGAGAGACAGCCAGGAGAGAAAACGAGGAATGACAGCCAGGAGAGAGAGTGAGGAGAGACAGCCAGGAGGATGAGCAAGGAGAGACAGCTAAGAGAGAGAGCAAGGAGAGACAGCCAGGAGAGAGAGAGGGATGGGTTTTTTTTGTTGGTAGATCTCATGTAGCTCGTCATTTGAAAGTAGATCTTAAACACAAAAAATTGTGGGCACCCCTGGTATAGAGAGTAGTGTATAACATATAACACGGTAAAGAGAATAGAGTATTACATATAACACGGTATAGAGAGTAGAGTATGACATATAACACAATATAGAGAGAGTACAGCATGACATATAACACGGTATAGAGAGTAGAGTATGACATATAACACAATATAGAGAGAGTACAGCATGACATATAACACGGTATAGAGAGTAGAGTATGACATATAACACAATATAGAGAGAGTACAGCATGACATATAACACGGTATAGAGAGTAGAGTATGACATATAACATGGTATAGCGCAGTGGTTCTCAACTCGTGGGTCGCGATCCAAATAACACGGCATAGAGAGTAGAGTATGACGTATAACACGGTATAGAGAGTAGAGTATGACGTATAACACGGTATAGAGAGTAGAGTATGACGTATAACACAGTATAGAGATTATATAGCACAATATAGAGTTCATTATGATATATAACAGCATATACAGCATAGTATGACATAGAGCGTATAGTATCATATATAACATGGTATAGAGAGTATATGAATGATTAAACATATGAACTATGAATGAGACTGTAAGTAGAGGCTTCAGTGACCAGGTCGCCAGACAGAAATTTAAGGTCAACTTGGTAGCTGGGATTTGTCCTGCCTGGCAGTATAGAGAGTATAAAACTGTTATGTGAAACCTTTATGACATAAGGAAATGAAACTATTGCTGTAACTGCTTAAAAATGTTAGCTGGAGTTCAGATTTAATTTCTTAGACAAGTTCATCTAAATCTACATCTAACACTACCCTCCCCAAAGGGTGACAATGCTGCTGTCCGAAGGGTGGCTCCAATGCTCCTCTATGGAGTGGAGTCACCCTAAGGCTGGGTCCACACCTGGGCGTACGGAATAAGCGATTGGCGGTAAAAGAAACGCGCGACAAACGCTTGTTTCCAAGGGCTATCCGGCTGTATCCTAATGAATACGCGCGGCAAATACGCCCCGAAGAAGCTCCTGTACCCCTTTGGGCATAGGGCGTTTTACAGCGCGTTCCTACGCGCTGTAAAACGCCCAGGTGGGAACCATGCCCATAGGCAATTATTGTTTTTCACATGTTGAGCGTTTTACAGCGCGTAGGAACGCGCTGTAAAACGCCCAGGTGTGAACCAGGCCTAAGACAAAAAGTATGTTACCGGCAGGATCTCCAAAAGAAAATAAAGGGAAAAATACCTAAAAAAGAAAACTAATGCAGTCACCACATCTAAGGATTGGTAAGCTGCAGAATATGACATTTTGATTTTCTGGGTTTAGATACACTTTAGACTGCGAGTATAAAGATATTGAAGAGTTCATCTTTAGACATCATATTGAGTTTTATAAAGGCTGCACCTAATCTAATATTAGATAGAAGTGTGTAATTGTGTAAAATCACTAAGTCTGAACCTGGGAACACTGCAAGGACAGCACAGGCTACGTCTATGTGTAAACTTCACACCATCAGCTGTGTATTGTCCAACACCGCCATAATGCAAGGACAGCAGAACATACTAAGGAAGTCATTCATAGCGATTTACGGAGGAAAAACCTGCTGCATTCTACCATCGACCCACTACTGTTAGGTGTCAATGTGTGCCATAAGAAGACACACAGGGCATTACTGCAACTAATGATCATTTTCATAATCGATTAGTTGGCCGATTATTTTGTTCGATTAATCGGATTTTAAAAAAAATACTATCCTTAATTTAAAATAAAATAATATACACAATGCAGCGTTACAAACATAAAGTTTACTTCAGAATAAAACGGCATGTACAATTGTTTGGAATCGCACTGCACTGGAACGCACAGCATTGCGGTACCGTGCGATCACACTGCGGGTGGGAGGCGCGTTTGGAGTGACATTGAAATGAATGGCACTGCATCGCACCTCCCACAGCAAAATTTGTCAGGCCGAAGCGGAAAATGACTTATTTCCACCTTTTATCATTGTATTGTAAGCATATGGCTCTGGAAAAGCTTCAGCCAGAGAATGACAGCTGCCAGTGGCAAGATTCTGCAGACGGCAGCTCAATGTAAATACAGCAGGTAGTGGGTTGGTGTTGCTATTGGCCATTTCAAATTGTAATAGCCAATAGCAAGCTGGCTATTGCACCCGACCACTGCTTGCTGTGCCCTCCTCCCAGCATGGAGGAGAGAGCTAGGGGATCCAACCAACTAATCGATAATGAGAATGGTTGACAATTATCGATTAGTTGATTGCAGCCCTACAGGAAGGGTATTCACCCCGAACAGAAAAATGCAGTAACATATGCAGTAATGTAGTAAAAACAGAAGTCACAAATCAAACCCACCCACTACAATAGTGTTTGGCTCATGGAGCAACATTTCACACATCTGGTGGAAACCATCATCACATAGAGCTTTGCAGGACCAGTGTGCTATGAATACGTCATAGGGCATAGTCATAATAAATAGTTGTAGGAGAGCCGGAGGCCGGATGCTGTCTTCTATGAGGATTTATCTGTTTGATACCTAAATTCAAGCAAGATACAGTGGCAGAAAGCAATTGATATGGTTAATTCACTGCCTACTGCAGGAAAAACGACCCAGGACCACTGTGCTGCACCAATTCTCAAGGAACAAGATTCCAAGTGATCGTATGAGACCAAGAAGCCAACCACCATTGTTTTTTGTCTACCATTGAGCAGAAGACATCAATGTTGGACAGCATACCATAGGTGCAGCTGCAACCCCAACTGAGGGTTGAGCAAAGAAAAGAGCCTATAGCAGGAAAGAGACTTTTTACTGGGAAATAGGCTATAGCAGGGGTAGGCAACCTTGGCACTACAGCTGTTGTGGAACTACAAATCAATTGAGGCACTGCAAGACTCTGACAGCCACAGGTATGGCTCCCACAGGCATGATGGGATTTGTAGTGCTAAGGTTGCCTACCCCTGGTCTATGGGATGGATTCAGTCTATAGAACAGGTTTGAGCTGCACCAAATCTTAGGAGTAGAGGAACAGAATAGGGCCATACTGATAGTAATTAAGGAACTGCATGGGAAGGCAGCCCACACAGGGAGACTATGCAAGTCCCATCATGCGGGAATTTTGCCCGCAATGACGGTCACTTTGAGCTTCTGCTGAAATGCTGAGCCTCAAAATTGAAATCAATATTAATAATACATAATTCACATTCCAAGTGGCTCGTTCAGGACTCCAACAAAGACAAATACCTTCCAAGCCAGATATGTCCTGAAACATCAGACAAATGGCAACAAACTGCAAGACTGGCCACCAAAATCAGCCCGTCAAACAGGGATATGGCTGTCACCTGACAGCCCTATAAATCTTCATTCCCTGAATGTCTGTAAATTCTCTATAAAGCAGAGAGAAATCTGACAATCGTAAGCTGAATAACCCGGGCCAGGATCACAAACATGATTGCTCTCCAGGGTCACCGCCACTCTTCACAGTTGGTAAACTGGTATCTGTAATTTTTACAGTTACGTTTCTGTCATTGTGTGTGACGTGTGAGTGAGGGCTCTGCCAGTGATTTGCGGGTCTCTCCCCCCAAACTCTCCATTACAGACACATTATCATTCTGCCAGAGGACGCAATGCTTGGATGGTTCATGGGCTACACAGAAAGGTCAATCAAATCAGATCTCGGCGCTGGAGCTGATGTGTGCTGTGAATGGCGGTGGGCACACTGCTATGGCTGCTGCTTCTACAGCACCACCCCAGACGTTGTCACCTTGCGTGTGTAGGGTACACCGGAGTTACTCCATGCATCCACAGCTGTGAATCTTCTATTCTGGTGGCATCTTGAGCAGCATCAATCAATGTTTGAAAGATATAATAACCTTCTGTGACCATTGCCATGTTGGGGTAGACCACGGACTCATTTTTAGAGTTTTTACCTATGTGGCACCTCTAAGTTTACCCCAAATAGAGCAGTTTTTATTGCACAGAGTTTGGAAATGTATTGTCAGCTCCCGAGACCGTGACAGCTCCCGAGACTGTGACAACAAAACTGTCTAGAAATTTTTTTTTTCTACTATTGACTGTATGATCTGCCATGGCTGGCTCCACGGCTCGGATTGGCTATGGCATGAGGTGGCCTTGTCCTGGGATATGCTAAGGATTATGGGTAGGCCAATGTGGCAACAATTGTACACATATCCAATATGGCGCTATGGATTTCTCGCTATTGGCAAATCTTGAAGGTATTGTCT